CCCGCCCTGTCTGGCCCTCCCTCTGTCACCTGCCCCCCACACACACACCTCCCCTACTCCTCTTCAGAGCCATGAGTGCAACGCATGGTCGGGGGGACCTGAGACCTCCCCACCCCAGGCCTCCGCCTTCCACTGAGCCCAGAGGTTTTCCCACAGTGGGGCCCTTCCCCTGCCCTAGCCGGCACCCCACAGTTTGACCACAGTGGCCTCCTGCCAAGAGCGGGCTACCCCATTGACTCCGCCTTCTCCCGGCCTTGCTCCCCGAACCCAAGGGGGTCTCACCATGAGGATACACTCCCTGGACATCCAATGGTTGGGTAGCATGGCCTGCCCCTAGATGTGGTAGTAGTCCGCCACTAGCCCCGCCCCTTTCCCCAAGCTCCGCCCCTCTCACCTAAGCCCCGCCCCCAGGGGGGTCTCACCATGAGGATGCACTCCCAGGCCATCCAGCGGATGGGCAGCACAGCGCGCCCCTGGATGCGGTAGTAATCCCCCGAGTAGAGGTTGCGGCTCATGCCGAAATCGGCGATCTTAATGGTGAAGCCCTCGCCCACCAGGCAATTGCGCGTGGCCAGGTCCCGGTGCACAAAGTTGAGAGAGGCCAGGAACTTCATCCCCGAGGCGACCTGGGCTGCCACGTGGACCAGTGTGGGGTAGCTGCACGCAGCGGGAGAGGGTGTCAGAGATACTCCCAGCATGCACCAAGGCATCAGAAGGAAGGGATCAGATATTCCCAGCATGCACTGGGGCAGCTGAGCAGAGGAGGAGATGCTAGAGATATTCCCAGCATGCACTGGGGCAGCTGAGCAGAGGAGGAGATGCTGGAGAGATTCCCAGCATGCACTGGGGCAGCTGAGCAGAGGAGGAGATGCTGGAGATATTCCCAGCATGCACCGGGGCATTGGAACATCAGATATTCCCAGCATGCACTGGGGCAGCTGAGCAGAGGAGGGGGAGGGATGTCAGAAATATTCCCAGCATCCACTGGGGCTCCTGGCTCCCATTTCTGGAGTCCCTCCGGGGTCTCCCTCCTTGACGGTCCCAGCGTGCGGGGGGGGTACCTGATGGTGGGGGCGTCGCTGGTGCTGCCCCCCAGCTTGTCCTCCAGCTCATGGCTGCTGAGGAACTGGTTGAGGTCCCCGTTCTCCATGTACTCGGTGATCATGCACAGAGGGTCGTCCCGCACACACACGCCCAGCAGCCGCACGATGTTGGGGTCCCTCAGCCGCGACATGATCTTCACCTCCTTCAGGAAGTCATTCCTTCGGGGAGAGGGGAGAAAGGTCTTATCAGCACCCCCTGGGGCATGCACGAGGGAAGCACGCGCATCCCCTCGTGCAACACTCTGGTGTTGCACAAGCATCCCTGTTGCACACTCACAGCCCAAGGGGGCACAGGCTACCTTCTCATGCCCTCACAGCAAACAAGGCACGGTGAAACAACCAGCTGCCTTGTGCAAAGGAAGGTCTCTGGTGACACACTTGTCTCGCCTGGTGCACCAGCATGTTCTGAGCTTGCTCGCACTTTCCCTTCCTGTGCACTTACAATGGACGGTCCAGGCTGGGACAAGCCTCCACCCCATGCAATGGGATGTTCCATGTTTGCACGAGTGCCCCTCCTCCCATGCACACTTACAATAGAAACCTCCTTCTTGTGCATTCGGACGTGCCATGTTTGCACACGTGCCCCTCCTCGTGCACTCACAAGGGACGGTGGCGGTCTCACAAGGAACTCTCTACATGCAGCAGGAGGTGAACTTTTTCCACTTTTTCTCCCCCCCCCCCACGTGCAATGAGATGTTCCACATTTGCACAAGGCCCCCCTCCCTCCCCCGTGAACTCACCTGGCATTCTTAGTGGCATCGGAGCGCAGGATTTTCACAGCCACCAGCAGGGGGCGCCCCTTGCGCACGTTGAATGGGAACTCCAAGTTGGGCAGGTCCTGAGGGCTTTCCACCTCACAGAGATGCACCTGGGGACAGGGGAGGATGGGCAGAGAGCAACAGGCCATCAGCACCCTCAGGGTCAGGCGCTAATATACCTTCCCCTGGATTAAGTATGACCTCCTGGATCCTTCCACCCATAAAATAGTTCCTCCCATCTCCTCAGAGCAGAGAAAGGAGTATGAACAGTGGGAAGGAGGGGGATGGGGAAACAGGGGTAGGAAGGTGTGGAGGGGAAAATCAGGTGAGAGAGAGAAAGAAAGAAGGAAGGAAAGAAGGAAAGATGGATGATTGGAGGGAGAACAGAATGAATAGAAAGAGGAATAAAAGAAGGAGAAAGGAAAAGAATAAAAGAATTTATCTTCTATACATTTAAAAAGTTTGTCTGTGGGACCAAGAACTCTTCTTATAGGGCAAGAGCCAGCATCATCAAATTCAGCACGCAACTTCCTCTCATTATAATTTAAAGCAAAGTTGTACCAGGACAACGGGATGTGTCTGGAATGGGATTGGTTCTCATCCAACTAAACAGAAAAGAGAGAATCACCAACTCCCTGAGCGAATGTCGAAGGAGCCAAGAAAACAAAATGAAGTTTGGGATTGCTTCTCAATACACCCTACAGAAAACAGAGGCATCTTTTGGCCGAGCTACACCACTTATTCCGGAAAAGCAGCCGCTTTTCCAGAATAACTTGCCAGCTGTCTACACTGGCCCCTTGAATTTCCGGAAAAGCACTGACAATCTACTGTAAAATTGTCAGTGTTTTTCCGGAAAAACTATGCTGCTCCCGTTCGGGCAAAAGTCCTTTTCCGGAAAAACTGTTCCGGAAAAGGGCCAGTGTAGACAGCCCAGTAGTCTTTTCTGCAAAAAAGCCCCGATCGCAAAAATGACGATCGGGGCTTTTTTGCGGAAAAGCGCGTCTACATTGGTACGGACGCTTTTCTGGGAAAAGTGCTTTGCCGGAAAATCATCCTGCCAATGTAGACGCACTTTTTCCGGAAATACTTATAATGGAAAACTGTTCCGTTTTAAGCATTTCCGGAAAAGGGTGCCAGTGTAGACGTAGCCTAGAAGAAAATGTAATTGGAAACCAAAATGACTGTAGCTCTTTTTTGTTAAAACATAGTGAATGATAAAAGTTTATAAGGATGAAGACAAAATACACTGGATGGAACTCCAATTTTTAAAAAATTACTACAAAAATTAAGTGGGAAAATGTTATAATCCCTTTAAAAATTCCAAAATAAAAGTTAGCTTCCTAAAAATAATACTGTATTTTTGAAAAATACAAGCATTCAGATAAAGCAGGCGCATATTCCTTTTATGTTCCAAAAAGAAAAAAAAAACTAATTGAGTTAAGGACCCGAGCCACGCCGAGTAAATCTGCCAGTTTTGAAATAATGTGAAAGACTGAATGGAAGGAACAAATGAATGGAAGAACAAAGGAATTGAAGAACAGGGTAAGCAAACCACGCAGACGCAGAAACACGTGAATGGAAGAAACAGAGGAAGGAATAAAAGCGACTGCCGAAGGAAAGAATGAGCGAGAGCGCGAAGAAAACAGAAGTACAAACCCATGAACGAAGCGACGAACCAGGTGGATTTCTAGCTCCCTGGCCATCAAGATGGGATTGATCTTATGAAAACTGCAGTCTAGCTCACCCACCAGATATGGGCTGGCAGGTCGAAATCGGAACTCCTGCTTTTCATCGGGAGTAACGCTAATTCCGAAATCGTTATTTCGAAATAACGGTCGCGTGGACGTTCCAGTGCAGCTATTTCGGAATAGCTCATCCCTGGAGTCATTTGAAGGAATTTTTCCCTACTCTGGGACTCTAAGTCCGAGGTAGCGTGCCCCCGTTAATGGAGCGAGGGGCTAAGCTATGGAAGAACAAACCAACACAGGACAAAAGGCCACCGGGAAGGGACGGCTGAAGGAAGGAAGAACAGAGGAAAGCGCCAAGCAGAGAAATGGATGGACGAGCGGAAGGGGAAGCGGAGGGAGGCCCAAGGGGTTCAGGAACCCACCTCTCCAAACTGCCCCTCCCCCAGCTTCTCCTTGAAGAGGAGACGTCCCCGGGGGAACTCCCCCAGGGCCATGTCCTTGCCGGCCAGCGCGTCCACGGCCACGGCGGGCACGGCGTACGTGTTCCCGCCCGTCACCCCCTGCAGGTTGATGATGTCAGCCTCGGCGTAGTGCGGGACGTTGTTCTGCGCCCCGGCCGGGGCTCCCGAGGGGTCGGGCTCCATGTAGTCGCCGCCACAGGCTGTGGGGGGGAAGGGCAAAAAGACTGGGTTAGCCAGGGTGTTCCTCTCCGCGGGGAGACCCGGCTGTGCGCCACCCCAGAGCTGGCCGCGGCGCTGGGATTCCCGGCACAAACCGCCGCCCCGCCCCAGAAGCTGCTGCACCTGCCGCCCAGGCAAGAGAGCCCTGTTAAAACCGCCACCCCCCCGCCCAGAAGTGTATCCGCCAAGGGCTCCTGCCGCAGCGCCGTGACGGGGCCCCACCCCAGAGCCAGCTGCATCTTGGCACCAGGAGGAGGAACCCTGCGGAGCTGAACGTGGGAAGTTGCCTCTCCTCCATGCCCCGGCCCCTCCCGCTCCCGGAAGCCGAAGCAGAGAGGTTCGTGGGAGCAGAGGGCCGGGGTTCGATGCCAGCCTGGGCCATGCATGCAGACAGTGGAAGGTGGGACAGGTGGGAAGCAGTGTGCGCCCCCTGAAGGGAGGGGGGCAGAGGAACGCAGCCCAGGCGCCTGCTGTGCTCCCAGGTGGGGCCACCAGGTGGCGCCCTCCTT